AATAACTCACTAAAGGTCTCCGATTATGTTGGAGGAGAACCGGAATATAAAAAAAAAAAAAAAAAAAAAATGCGAACAGCGAAACAGGAAGGCGGGAACGGTCGCCGTCACCGGTGAGTCGCGCCAAGGGCCGACACCGGCGACCTCACAGCCCACCGGGGAGAATGCGCAAGGGGTATCGCTTATGGCGGCAGCGAACCCCGCACCTCCCAAAACATCCACCTCTTCAAAGAGAGGGCGTAAGAAGAGGACCGCTTCCCCCGCTGCAGACACCCAGGCTGACTGCGCCGCGGAGGAGCCGTCCGCCGGTGAGTCCGCCAACACCCCAGCTACTACCGATGCCATCGTCCCCCGAAAAAGGGAGGCAGAGAGGACTAAGCCGACCGTCCGCGAAATCACCTACAGGCGAACAAACGCCCTACTGGCAGAAGAGGATAGCAGCACAAAAGCCGTTATCCTTTTTACACTACAGCTGCTTCAAGAATTCTTGGCCGCCATGAGCCAGGAGCAGAACAAAGACGCCGTCGTTCGCATCGCCACCAAAAGCGTAGCTGCGCTGCCCTGCTGATCTGGGAAGCATAGGCGCCCTGCTCCGCCAACATTTCGTAAAAGTACCCCCCCACCGACACTTTTGGCACATAAATTTTTACTTTAATTTTTTTTAACCTACCCACATTGATATACCTTCTAAACAATTTTATTATTACAGTCACCCCGCGGCCCGCGAGAACCAGTGCCTACTTGGCCCAAGTAGGCGCAACGTGTGTGGGCGCTGATGACCGCCGCAACAACAACGCGACTTACTTGCAACCCTTCACAAACAAGACGCCACTATCATCTGAACACCCCACGACCTACCCCTGTTTAGGGGTAGCGGTAGATACCGCTGGGAGGGGGCTATAGCCCCGATCCAGCCTCCACGCGTCCCCTAAGGGACGGTGTGAAGACCAGTGATCGATCGTTTTATTCGGTAATCGTCCGCACTTTCACATTAAAGTAGTATATTATAGAAGTGAGTGTTTTCCTTAACATTTGATCCGTACGAGCCGGATTAAAGGATTGCAGTGAAACAGGAGTGCAGTGGAAAAGTGACTGTAAGTGCATGGCCCTTGCAAAACTAGTTATATTGGGCCATGCTTAGGTAGATAGCTATAGGGATCTTCTCAGGTATCAGTATTATTCTCAATATTTATCAATCTTATCACCCCGAATCTTCAATGTGCGTACCATCTTTATGCCGATGACTTGCAACTCTATTATCAAGCCTCGACAGACGACATAAATGGGGCCATTTCTATGGTTAAGAATGACCTGGAGGCTATTAGCAGTTGGGCTGATGGGTTTGGTTTGGCAGTGAATCCAGCGAAATGCCAAGCCATCATCATAGGCAGTCCGCGCATGACTGGAAGGATGGATCAAAACAAACTGCCACCCATTACTTATAATGGCACAGTCATTCCCTTCAGTCCCTCTGTTAAGAACCTAGGCCTATTTATCGACTCCAAGCTCAGCTGGCAAACCCAGGTCACCAGCGTTAGCCAGAGAGTCACGGGTACGCTACGAGCCTTCTATCGGCTTAAAAACTTCGTTCCTTCCGAGACAAAAGCGATGCTAGTACAGACTCTTATTGTCCCTATCTTGGATTATGGTGATGTATGCTATTATGACCTGAATGCAGATCTCCTCAATAAATACGACCGCCTTCTGAATAACTGCATTCGATTCGTCTTTAACCTTCGCAAATACGACCATGTTTCTTCCTCTCGTCGTGAATTGAACTGGCTCACGATTCGTCAGCGCCGTCAGCTGCACGCCCTAACCACCCTCTATTCCATACTCAACTCACCTATTTCCCCTTCCTACCTAACATCCTCATTTCATTTTCTATGTGCCAATCACAACAGAACTCTCCGTTCATTAAACAATCCACTTCTGTTATGCCCCACTCATACTTCCGCACTCTTCGTTCTTAGTCCAATCTGTCCTCCTCTGGAACGCTCTGCCTTTGGAAATCAGGATAGCACCCAGTCGCCTCTCATTTAAGACGAAAGTCCGAGCTCGAATTCTCGACACTTTAGCAGACTCATCACATCCCTAAAGTCTTATATGTTATTATGTTAGCCTTGTATGTATTACTCAGCAAGTATATATATGTATGTATATCTCAGTATGTATGTAACGTCTGGTTTAAGAATCTTTATTTCTCAAAAGAATTTACAAAATTCACTTACTGAGAAAACATACATAAAAGTAAACAAAATAAATCCATTGAGCGTTTGAATATAATATAAAATAAAAGTGGGTAGTCAAATATATTTTGCGTAAGATTACGAACTTGCAAAACACTCGAACACAGAAAACAATGGGAATCCAAGCAACTGAACCAAAGATGTAACTTGAAATTATTAACTAGATGTGGCATCCAGATGGTAAGTACACTCTTCTATTTTTATTACTGAATTGTTTTTTTTTTTTTTTTTGATACTTGATTGAGACTTGAGATTTTGTTTTTTTTTTATTATTATTATTTTTTTTATTTTTTTATTAAAATTTATATTTGTAAATATAAAAACATACACATATGCATAGACGTACATATACACATACATATACATACACACACACACACATACATGCACATACCCTGCATGCACTTACACACACACATACGCACACACACGAATATTCTTTATTCTTTTATTCTTTTATAAAAAGACAACTTCCGCATTAGGAATAAATCCTGTGTCGCGGGGGACTTTACAAACATACATGAAACGGACACACAGAACACCCAGACTCAGAACAACAATTTGTGGATCGTCCCATGTGGGGTTTGAACCCACAACACTCGGCGTAGTAGGAAGAGGCGTGGCGACCGCTTAAACCACTACGCCATCCGTGCAGTCATATTATGTGCATATAGAATTGTTTTTATCCTTATTAGTTTATTTGATTGTGAATGTTTTAGTACAATAATAATGTATTAACTAATAAGTAGCTGCTATGTGTTTCTTCAATGTTTTTTTAAATGTAGTCAATGTAGTAGCATTTTTTATATTTAATGGTAATTTATTGTATATCTTTACTCCTTCAAATTCAATATTCTTCTTTCCAAAGTTCGTTCTGGGTGGTCGAGTTACAAGATGGGTAGCGTTTCTTAGTTTCATTTTTTGCCGAGCACTATTTGTTGTAAAAGATAAACTAGTATGAATATTTCTGTTTAATATTTTACGTATCAATATACACGTGTAGTATATATAAGTTTGCTTTATGGTCATTATTTTGGTGTCCTCGTATATTTTTTTAGTGGGAGTACGAAAGTTGTATCTAAAAAGAACCTTTATTAATTTATTTTGTTTTCGTTGTAAGTCATCTAATATAGTTTTACCCGCGGTTCCCCATATTTCCACTAAATAATCAATGTGTGGTTTGACTAGAGAGTTATAAATAAGGTATCGGACTTTGTGAGGAATACATTTAGTTATACTGAATAGGCAACCCGTCAGTGAAATAAGTTTATTTTTAATTTTATCTATTTGGGGTTTCCAGCTCAGGCGAGTGTCCAGAATGAGGCCAAGATATCTTTCATATGTCTTTCTCTTGATTGGTTCGTTATTTATGATCAGTGGTATATTATCAATTATTTTTTTGTTTTTGGCTGCAAAAATGACATAGTTTGTTTTTTTGGTATTTATAGTTAGTAAATTATGTTGGAACCAATCATTTAACATATTTAAATCATTCTGAATTTGGGGTTTCATAGCATCGACAGAATGGCCGTAATAAAATAGGCATGTATCATCTGCATAAAGTGAAATATCGCCCTTAAGTCCAATTTGGGATATGTCATTGATATAAATTAAGTACAAAAGTGGTCCCAAGATTGAACCTTGAGGAACTCCATAAGTAAAATACTTAGGAGAGCTGTGATGTTGCCCGATTTTTACTATTTGCTCACGGCCGCTTAAGTAAGATGTTAATATTCTTAGCGCTTTGTCTTTAATACCTATATTAAAGACCTGTAACCTAATTTTAATTTCATGCACCTACTCAGACATTTCCCCACCACCCAAAGGTAGACTGGGAGAAAATGCCATTGGCATTAAGTCCGCCATTGTACTTTGTTTGTGCAAAAAGAATTAAAATAAATAAATATGTAGGTACTAGGGTAGTAACTACTTGTCTCGTGTATGAGGAGTAAATAAAAAAGTTCAACTCACTGTTATCACCATGTATTTGTCCAGCACACGAGAAATAAACAGAAGGTACAGTAGGTAGAAGATACAGGCACAAGCACAGAACAATTAGCAGTTTAAATAGGAAGATAGCTAGTTCAAGAATAGCACAAGAGATCACTAGATATTTAAGCAGTATATAAATAATATATAAGCACTACTTTAACAATATTTAGGCGGTACGAAGGGCTTAGGTAAGCAAGCGTGCGGTCTACAACGGTAAGGAATTCAGACTATTCGAGACGGCGCACGCGCAGCGGTTGCCGGCGCGTATCTCATCTAGCTATACATTTAGATAGCATAGTGAAAGGGATGTGTCGATAGAATTTATCGACAAACTGATATGTATCGCTGTGAAATGTAATATTTATTTATGATGTACTTTTATTATAAACGTGTGTATTAATGATGTATATATTTTGTAAATAATATTTTAGGTGTAGAATAAGTATAAATATTGTGAATAAATAATAATAATATATAATCTATGTGTTAATGTTTAGTGTTTTATGTGTAAAACGTATTAAACTCAAACGAAAGTAGGGGGATCCCTACAAATAAATAAATAAAGTAAATATTATTGACATAAATCAGTTTTAACGTAGTGTACAATCTTGGTTAAGTAAACTCTGTGAACACTCTGTGAAAATGGCGCAAAGTGGCACTCATTTAAAATTAATAACGGAAAGAATCAGTAAATTATATACTAATTTAAAAAAGTCCAAATCACGGTTCACAAAAGGATAAATACAGACTAGATTGGACATGTTAGAGGAGTATTGGTCGAGTTACGCTAAACATTATGATGTCATAATTCAAGCAAGTCCTAAAGTCTTAGCTAAATTCGACGCACTACAAGAATACGAAATAACAGAAAATCCTAATTTAGATTGTAGAACCTTACTGATGGAGGCGTTGTATTCGCTAAGAGCTGAGAAAGAAAATCGCGAATGTACAAAGGTTGTCACGATGGAATCCACATCCACATCACGAGTCAAACTACCACCTATTAACATACCACGGTTCGCAGGCAACTATGAAGACTTGATAAGATTCCGCAATTTATTCACTGCCTTAGTTAACAATGATGAAAGGTTATCGAACATGGAGAAATGTCACTACCTGCGATCGAGCGTATGCGGAAACGCGGAGATCGCCATTAAAAATCTAGCAGTCAGTGGCTCAAACTTTGAAAGGGCGTGGAGTATCTTAGAAAATCGGTATGATAATAAGAGAATCATCGAGAACAATGTGCTGAATATATTCTTCAACCAAAAGACGTTAACTACGGAGTGTGCACGTGGGCTGAAGGAGCTTCTAGATACAACTACGGTCACTCTGGACGACTTACAAAGCCTCAGCATTGACATTAGGGTTGGGATGTTGTTATCATTCACATAGTCGTTTCCAAACTTGGCTTCGAATCTCAAAAAATATTGGACCAACATCTGTGTAACGCACGAGACATCACACGCAATCGAATCCATTGCTAATATGAGAAAGGAGAAGTACACACCAAAGCTGGTACCGAAGAACAACACCTCTAGAGCCTTTGTCGCGAAAGTTACATTTACAGCCTGCACATTTTGTCAACAAGATCACTGTATCTGACACTGTAACGAATTTAAAGCATTAGAGTTCCAAAACGATAAGAGATTGTGAAGACAAATAACTTATGTTTCAATTGCCTTGTGAAGGGTAACTCAGTTGGTCCCTATCGGCAACTCACCACTTGTAAACTATGCCGCCGTCGACACTACACGCTATTGCACCTCACACACCCTAGCCAGGCACCCTCGTCAAACGAACTTGTTGAATCAGTGCAACCTCCAGCGGTTGTCACCATGAAGGTCGAAAGCACCAACAATCAAGTTATTTTAGCGACCGCACGGGTAGTTGTGACGGCTGGAGATGGTACCACACACGAACTGCGTGCGCTGATCGATCAAGGTTCTCAAGCCTCATTTTTCAACGAGTCACTGTTTGTGCGGATTTTGGTCCAGAGGTATTGGGCCATTTTTCTTCGAAAATGAGCAAGGAGTGGCCGTTACAGTCAATGGCGATCGTTATCGGGCCATGTTGAACGAATTTTTGTTCACAAAAATTGAAGAGGAGGATATTGGCAACATTTTGTTTCAACAGGACGGCGCTACGTGCCACACAGCCGAAGCTACACTCGATGTTTTGCGCCCTGTTTTTGAAGATCGCATTATCAGCCGCAGAGCTGATGTCGTTTGGCCACCTCGGAGCTGCAATCTGACACCGCTGGACTATTATTTGTGGGGTGCCCCCAAAGATAAGTGTTACGCCGACAAGCCAGAGACAATTGACGCTTTAAAGGACAATATTCGTGAAGCCATTGGTGAAATACAGCTGCACACAATCGATAATGTGCTTAAAAATTGGACCGATCGTGTAGGCTACTGCATGGCCAGCCGAGGCAGCCATTCGCATGAAATTATTTTCCATTATTAACCGGAAGGATTGTACTTTCAAATAAAAAAATAAGTTTGAGAAAATATTCAGTAGTTTTTTTTAATGGCATTTAAAAAAAAAAAAAGTTATTTAGCGGACCCTTTATATAAATCATTAGTTCGTTCGATTTGGAATCCCTTCTATGGATCCCCAGGAGCCTTAATTAAAAACCACTGACTCTTAACAACTCGTTTTATTAACCACTTCGCTTCGCGGCACCGTGCGACTAACGTGTGACTTCGTATGCTAACAATTTTAATATAGTTTTCTGTGCTTTTATGTGACTAATTTCCGGTTTGCGGGCGGCTAAAGGTTGTGTATAGTGTTTCTAAAGAATTTCAGTAAGTTTTATTGTTTTCTAAACATAAATATAGTGCCGAATTCTTTTATTACGACTATTGGTGAGTAAATTTATTATCTTACTAAAAGTGGGTAGGCGGTATCCTTTGTTTAAATTGATTTTTCTCTGGGTATTGTTTATTTTTAAGCTTGTTTTTTTTTCTTTTTTAAATTGTTGATTGGTGTGTCTTTGTTTGGCTATGTCGGTCGTTAGCGAGTTGCCGGATCCCGGCGGTACAAGTGAATTTCTAAACTACTACTTACTTATCAAAAATTAATGAATTAGTTAATGATCAGGGATCTCGGATGAATGTAGGGAATAAAACGGCGATTATGGATATTACTCAACGAATTACCGGTATCGTATAAATGTTAGCAATAAAATCCTTTAGCAACGAAGCGAAGTTAGCGAATTTTGAGCGACAAATGGAGGGTATCGCAACTCAACAAACGAGTTTAACGTACGCGGACAAACTTAAGCTTCGCTTACCACCTAAATCTGCCCCGTGCCCGGTACCTACTGAAGCGCGCGTTCCTAGGCCTTGTGTTATTGCCTATCCCACTACGGAACGCTTAGCGGACTATGCGACCTCGTCAGCAACGAAACAAGCTCTTATGAAGGCTATTAAACCGAGCGATGAGGGTTTCCAAATTGTAGGCGTTAAAAAAACCTCTAAGGCAGGCGTCGTGTTACGTGTAGCTAACGAACGGCAGCTTAAGAAACTGGAATCTGTAGACGCCATTAAATCAGCAGGTTTACGATTAGAAAAACCGAAAGGCCGAAAGCCCCGTATAATTGTAAAAGTCGTACCCGGTTCTATGGAAGATCGTGCCTTCCTAACAGCTTTATACCGTCAGAATATCAAGGACGAATTAAAATTAAGTGAGAACGATTTTATTAAGTCAACCAAAATTGTTAGGCATCGTAAACTAGAAAATGGGCGTTAATGGATGGGCAACACAAAAGATAAACTTTATATAGACTGGGCCACTTGTCGATTCATAGACGATATAGAAGTAGTTCGTTGCTTAAATTGTCAGCAATTCGGTCATGTACAAAAGTTTTGCACCATTAAAACCCCTACTTGTGCTAATTGCGCCGCCGCACACGAAACGCGAGTTTGCCCAGATAAAGACACACCAAATTTTAAGCCCACGTGTGCACAGTGCAGGCGGTTCAAAAAACCATCTGACCATCGATGCGGCTCACACGACTGTGCCACATACAAATTAAAACTGGAGCAGCTAATATTAAATACCAATTACTGAATAGTTTAATTCAGCTTAAAAAAAAAGTTTATAGAGTAACTTACTAAGTAATGGATAATATTTCGATAGGCCAGTTAAATCTTCATAACGATAAAATAGCTACATCAGAATTAGAACGTTTAATTTTAGAACAAAAGTTAGACATTGTCCTTATACAAGAACAATATCAGAGCGCTCGCTTGCGTCGTAATGTAGTACAGCTTGACTGCCGTTCGCAGGCTGGGATATATGTTGCAAGTTCTAATTTTACGGTAACATCTTTGCGTAATCTTATGACGTCACACTGCGCCGTTGCTGAGATCTCATCCTCTACCTGTAAGGTTTACGTAGTGAGCTGCTATTTTCAATATTCATATCCTATTGATCCTCACTTACATCACTTACGTTACGTCTTGCAGTACCTCGTGGGACATAAAATTATCATTGGCGCTGATGTCAATGCGTCATCTTCATTATGGTATGGCAAGTTGCGTTCAACCGACACGGTTCGACGTTGTGCGGTTGAAGATTTCATTGCGGAAATGAATCTTACTATTCACAATACCCCCGATGCACCACCAACTTTTTGCAACCCAATGGGTGAGTCTTCTATTGACGTGACGCTTACGCGCGGCGACGTCTCGATATCCGGATGGCGTGTCCTCCCGGACGCATCCTGTAGTGATCACCGCTTGATCGTGTACGAATTCATACCAAGGGTTGCACGGGATCCACAAAGGACTCCTTTTAATTTTAGATATAAAACTAACGGTGCGAACTGGGCTTTGTTTGGTTCACTATATGCAACTCATACCAAAGACTTCAGTCGCAGTAGTTTATCAGCTGAGGAAAGCGCAGAAATACTATCAGAAACTTTCACATACTGCGCTGATGTATCTATTGGTCGCGGATCTATCACTAACACTCGTAGATGTGATTGGTGGAATGATAGATTAGTCGAACTACGTAGAAGCTACCGGAAAGCTCGTAGAAAATTAAACAATTATAAAAAACACAACGTAACAGGAGATTTGTACAATAATGCTCTCATTGCTCTTAGAGTTGCCAGGTCCCACTACAGAGCTGCAGTGGAAAAATCTAAGGGAAACTTAATTCAGAAACTTGTCGATAGACTCGATAGAGAGAGCCCGTGGTCACCTTTGTATCACGAATTTAAGGCAAATAGATCAATCGACCTTGCATACATACAGAACATCAAAATTAATAACAGATATACCACAGGAGTAGAAGAAACAGCAGAATATCTTTTAGAATCACTCGTACCTGACGATCGGCCGGAAAACGACACTGATCATCACCGACAGATCAGGCAGTGGGCCATCGAACCACCACTGTCTCCAATGTCTGATTTACCATCTTCAGACGAATTTCTCGGTATCATTAGATCCTTGCCACTAAACAAGGCTTCGGGCGATGATAAAATATCTAACAAAATGATCAAAGAAGCTTGTAAACTTTCGTCTGACACGATTTTCACTGTCTTTAAACGTTGCATTGTTGAAGGAATATTTCCTCGTATATGGCGGTGCGGTAATATTCGTATAATACCAAAAAGTGGCGACAAGCCACCGGATGATCCTAAATCCTACCGACCAATCACATTGTTACCATCGTTAGGAAAGCTTTTAGAACGTCTTGTAGTGCCCCGGCTTCTGCCAGGTGGAGTCAAATTTCATGATAGACAATTTGGATTTACGTTGGGTAAATCGACAACTGACGCTGTTATATCGGTTAGAAAGTTTGTCACAGAGTCAAAATTTCAATACGTGCTGGCTATTTTCTTAGATATATCTGGCGCCTTCGATAACGCATGGTGGCCCATGCTGTTGCTGAAATTAAAATCACGGGGGTGCTTTAAAAATATTTATTCCCTTATATCTTCGTACTTTTCACAAGGTACAACTAAACTAAGACTTGGTCATCATTCTGTGTCGAAGGCGCTTACAATGGGATGTCCTCAGGGATCGGTGCTAGGTCCATACTTGTGGAATATCGGCTTCGACGATTTTCTTGCGAAACCAATAACATCCGGATGTACTCTGAACGCGTATGCTGATGACGGCTTATTACTGGTGGAATCTGATACTAGGGCGGGGCTTGAGAGATTAGCCAATAGATGTTTGAACTTGATATCTCAATGGGGTGAACGTAATGGCTTAAATTTTGCACCCAACAAAACCTTCCAGCTACTTTTAAAAGGTAACCTCAAATCACCGCCAAGCATTAGATTTGACAATGTTACTGTAAAAAATAAGGCCTCAGTGTGTTACCTAGGATTAGTTTTAGAAAGAAACTTTTCATTTATCGAACATATTAAA